TTTTCTTTTGTTTTTCACTTTACCTTTGAAAACTACTGGGAAAACTACCAACTAGATTCACTACTTTCCTATTAGAAAAGATAATRTTGAAAAAAATCTAAGCATTTTTAATGTCCTAAAAGGTGATGACAGACACAAAAAAAAATTAAAAAACACGCATCATTGTAAAAACTATACATGCATCGCTCCGCTCAGAAACTAAAATAGTTATTAGGTATATAGGCATCCATATGACGTGTAAWATATATATATATTTAAAAGGCCGTTAGTATATTKAGGGCCTCTACAATTATGATTTTCCCGGGCTGTGTTTTTCTCCCAGTCCGCCACTGGTATATGTACCTAATATTATAATGTATACATAATACCTACCTGTATAATTGTTATTAACTATAGAATCAATTCCAACCTATCATAGAATGGTAGAAGCATAGCATTATTCTAAATGTTTTGAAAAAGTAATTGTATTTATAAAAGATAATAATAAACGTAAAAATATTGAGTTTCCAAAAAAAATATTTTTTGAACTACAACAAAAAAACTAAAATCGTAATCATTCGTTTGAATTTTAAATTTCATCCAAGTTTGAAATAGCACCCCAAAAAAAAAAAATGTTAAGTAATAATATTATATAATTTTGGTTTTATTGACCAGTAGATTATGGGTATTATCTACTTATGAGAAACATTATGCCTTATGGCTTGTATTAAGTTTTCAAAATGTAGCTAAAACATTGAACATTTAATACATTTTTAACTATATGCACAAATAATTAATATGTTTTTGTGTTTTAATGAATTTGATCAAAATTAGAACTTCAAATGCTTATAATGAAAAAAATCGTTACTGTTTATCTATTCTTTAATATTTTTTAAGACCTATAAAAATGACATGAGGAACCTATTCTATTACATTCTCAAGCTTTTGGACCAATTAAAATATTTTTAATGATATTAATAGTAAAAAAATTATAAATAGACTAGAAATAGTCAAAWTATTTTGAAAATTAAACAGTTAATAGAAAATACTTCTATAAACTTGTGCCTTATTAGTTGTATTAATTTATAATTATAATTATATTAAATTATTCTTATAATTATATTATTTATATATTAATTTTAAGAGGACGTCTTACACACGTACGACATAGGAAATGTTCGTTCGCTAGTTTCAATAGGGTATTGTCAGTTTTGATATTAAAGTGAATCCACCTATTATCAAACTTATAGGTAGCAACAATATCTGTGTTCTCTCGTTGGTTTTTTACGATATTTTAATTTTTAAGTGAGTTATGAACATTTTAAAATATTCATAATTTACATACCCATAACTCACATAAAAATTAAAATATCGTAAAAAACCAACGAKAGAACACAGATAATGTTGCTACCTAAAAGTTTGATAATATAGGTGGATTCACTTTAATATTAAAACTGACAATACCCTATTGAAACTAGCGAACGAACATTTCCTATGTCGTACGTGTGTAAGACGGAGACAACACATGCGGGTGCGATGTCCTCTTAATTTATTTTATTTTATTAATTTTCTATTTTTGCGTTATTACATACCCAGGGGCGGAGTGGCCCGCCGGGCAACCGGGACAATGCCCGGTGGCCTGGCTTGCTTATATTAGAAGTGGCCTGGTCCTGGTGTGATGAAAATAATTAATATTTAAAATATTTAGCTGTTTTTGATGATTGTAAAAACAACGAAAACCAATTAATAATGTGATATGTGAACCACCAATTTTATTATAAGTAGTAAATACTCTATGTTGCGATAACTCGTTTTCTTATTATCGGTCGTCTTATCATAATAATAGACAAGTAAAACAYGCAATCTATAAATAGTTATTCAAACGGGGTATATTATTTTTTAATTGACACAAAACAACAAAGTACCTATATGACAATGGTTGTAAATAACATCACAGGCTTGCATTTTTATTTAATAATACCAAATA